CCAAGACTCTTGAAGCTGACATACCATGGTTGTAAGTTGCAAATTGCTAAACAGTCCCTCTTGCCCATCATGGTTGCAAGTTGCAGACATACTGCCCTGTCCGTTTCGTTGAAATTTAGTTGCTACTGATGCTGATTTGTTATGAACTCATAATAAATCAGCATCAGCTAAGGCACTGTTTAGTTTACAAAAATTTTAGCGAAATGGTATTGTAGCACTTTCATTGTTATTTGACAATTAGTGTCCAATCATGGTCTAATTAGGCTTAAAAGATTCGTCTCGTGAATTTCATCTAAACTGTGTAATTAGTTTTATTTTTTATTTATATTTAATGCTTCATGCATGTGTCAAAGATTCAATGTGACGGAAAATCTTGAAAAATTTTGCAAAATGAAGTGGGGTACCTAATTTCAAAACGAATATGGTTGCAAGTTGCTGACCTGTGCAGGTTGCATGTGGCACGAGTACATGCTGCCACTTATCCTTCATGCCCCATTCGTTCATTTACTACGGATGTACTAGTAACCATTGGCAATCCAGCAGCTAATGAGGAGATGGGACTTGATATACAGTGCTGTTAAGCTTGTGCGCTTCGATCGCTTGAACTTATTAGTCCGACCACAATATTTTTCTCTCATGAGAAAACAACATCAGCGACTTATTAAGTGTTTGTTTAGACATGAGAAAAAAAAAAACAGAATAAGAATTGAGGTACGATGGAATGGATTTCACATTCTTTTTTTTTTGACAACACATATAGGCCTCGTTCGCTTCGCTGAAAAAACAAACCGAAACACTGTTTCGGCTGATTTGTTGTGAGAGAAAAACATTATTCTGGCTGAAAAAACAAGCTAAAAAAGACGGATTATAAGAGAAGCGAACAGAGGCATATTGTACATCCAAGGACCACGAACAAACACTGTGACACACGTGACAATACAGTTTAGAATCCAAACACCAGTTGAGAGCAAACAGACCCATTTGTCCTAATCCCAAGTTCCCAACATGATCTCATATCACAAACTCGTATTTACGGGCAAACAAACAACACATCAAAGTCCAATAGCAGCTGGCAATAGCCTGTTGGCTTGATCGTTTCATGGCTGATAAGATCAAGAAATCACAGGAGGCACAGATCGAACTAGGGTAGGGCAGGAACTGTAATAGCTCACATGCCACGCCCCATGGTCTGCTCCATGGGTGGCATCATGACAAAGACGGAGTGTCCATTGTTGAATCCAGGGTGGGGAACCCTGCGGCGCAGCTCACGTCCCTCCTGGCAGAGGGCGCAAGGGTGGCAGAGGTAGTGGGTAGCAAGGTCACAGACAGCCTCTAGGTGCTCACGCCTCTCCTCGTCCTCGACCAGACTGCCGCAGCACCCACACTGCCTGGCGAAAGCCTCAAAGTTACCCTGAACAGGGAAGGATTCAAAGAACCGTGTCATAATATTACTTTGAGACAGAGCTAGAGTAAGTCCTACATGCAAACAGAGATAAAGGATGAAAATCCATATAAACTCAAGATCAATACAAACCGTTTCAAAATATGATAGTCTCAATTCAAGTACTACTACAAACAAATTTCAAATGGAGATGGATACACACACTGACAAATGGAAAACCATACAGAATCTGGGCAGACAGAAACACTTGCCTCAAGATTGTAGCGTCGTCGAATAGCAGTACGAGTGGGATGAGAGAACCATGGGGCAAGGCAGTTCCACCCAAAGAGATAGTTCCCAAGCATATACAGGCCAGTGTAAGGCAAGCAGCTGTTTGCAAATGTGCCTTGTCCAGCAGCAAGCCTCTCAACATTACTACCATAGAGCACACATGGTGCTACTGTTCCAAGAAGACCTGATACATCCAAATAATATGTAATCAGTTCTTGGTTCAACACCCAAATTAACAAAAAGAAGTAATTCAAGATCCACCGTGAAATTGGAAGTACAAGGAAAAAGCATAATCCGCACTCCCAGAATTTCACAGGCTGGCATTTTGTGAAGTGTGTATACTATATAGTATAAGCATGTACAAGGTTCAACTGATAATTTCAGTGAATAACTTCAGAAATCATCAATTCACGGCAACGGTTTGCAATAATGCTATGGTTAAAAAGACACCTGCTCCATCCTATTCCCAGATCATGCACTTTTAGCCTTTTATGGAGCAGAATATGAGCATCATGTGCTGTTGTACATATAGTACAATTGCGATCAATAAAACGGGTGTTGGATCTCAGCTAATTCATTGTATCAGGGCACAGCATTTAGTAAGACATGGTACCAAAATCTGGAAGTGAACAATTTAGTGGATAACCTTCAGGGAATAGTCCACATACAAAAATGACTATTATTCACCAAATCTACAGCAATAAGAAAACAAAGTAACAAACTAAATGGTAGGTAGATGAAGGGGAAACTGTCAATCCTGGAGTATGAAACAGAACTAATTCCTAGAGTATGAAACAGAGCTAGAAGAAACAAAGTAACAAACTAAATGGTAGGTAGATGAAGGGGAAACTGTCAATCCTTCAACATCGATCAAACAAGAGTAGTCACAATCAATCAACTTTTAGAGGAGCAAACCAGCTGTTGTTGGCTGGTTAGAATAGCACTTTCAAGAGACAACTTCAGCTCATCCTTTAATTGCACAAGCCATTTAAGACAGCAATGTCTAAATATAAAATTTAGCTCATCCCATAATTGGCACATGTTAAATACGATAGCTCTGTACAAAGTTCAGCTCACCCTGAACAAATCAATAATTAGAGCTAAGATGTGAAATTTGTCTAGACCGCTTTTGGGCTATTACTTTTATGATAATAATGAATTTCAGGTTAGAGATATCATGCAGTTTTTTACAAGTTCCTAAAAGATTGTACAAGAGGGAATACCAAAATGAATCATACAGAGTCTAGTAGTCATAGCACCTTTACAGAAACAATTTGCCAGCTAGAAAGGACAATTTCAACAAGAAAAGGCTTCAGATCTGTCTGTTATCATGGAATTTATATGTAAGCAAATTCATATTATCAGGCCTTGTTGTGCCATGATTTCATACTTACATTAATAAGCGAGACACTTCAAATTGACAGAAATTCACGGCAACCCAATTCGATTAAGCGCACCATCCTAAATTCAATTTAGCTACGGAATCTGGCCAAAAATTCAGACAAAGCTGATCAGAAGTTCTAACAATTGTCGGTCGCACACCAAATCTAACACCGACTAAGCCTCTCATAGTGAAAACTACCGAAAAAAATCCAGAACAATCAGCCATTCCGATCAAATCGAGCTCAAAATCGTGGTAATACAACCACCTATTCCTCCTCGAGATCCCCAAACGCGAAACCACGCACATCTCTACAGCAAAGATTACGCACGACTCGAACAAAGAGTATCCGATTCCGAGGACAAGGGCCACATACACACTTCGACGTCGCTGCTGCAGAACTCGTCGTTGCGGCCGAGGCAGGAGAGGATCCCGGAGTTCCAGCTCTCCCGCGGGAGGCCGCCAAAGGCGTGGGCCGACACGGGCTCGCCCATGACGACCGGGACCCCGTCGGCATAGCACTTGGCGGCCTCCGGCGCCGGAGCCTGCGGGGGCTTCTCGTCCGCGGGGGCGGCGGCGACGGCGGCTGGGATGAGGGGGTTCGACTCCTCCTCGTGGTTGTTGGCGGCGGCGCCCATGGCGAGAGCCGGAGGGAGGTGTGGGGGTCGGATCGGAAGCAAGCTACCTAACGCGAGGCGAGGGAGGGGAAGGACAAAGGGGACTTGGCGTGGCGAGCAGCCTAAAATAGGGCGGAGGAAGCGCGTGGGAGGCTGGAGGTGACGGATGATCGCGTCGACTTCTTCTTCCTTCGCTGTTAAGAGAGACGCGAGAAGGACGACGAGATGGGGAAGACAGCGAATTCGTCTTCTTCTAAGGAAAGCGGGTTTTCGTCTAGCGATTTGGGGCAGTCGGGCAGCTGGCTAATGGGCCCGTGCCATTTGTTCTTTGTGGGAGAGGACTAGCCGCTTTGGCAGGAGGCCCAGCCCAACTAGGGTTCTCTCAATCTCTCCGGTCTCCATCTGCCAGGTCCTTCGAGGCATTCATACTTCCTACTCCCTCGCCGTCACGCCGATTTCTTCCTCGCTATCAGCGGAACCCTAGCTCCGGCGCCTCTAGGCTTTAGCGATCCCCGGAACCCTAGTTCGTCGCAATTCTACCCACTTCGCCGGATTAGTTGGTGATTGAGATGGTACGCTGCACTCTACACGCTCTTCCTCTTTTCCCTCGTCTTTTTTTTTTTTGGTGCCTTGCCTCATCTGCCGACGACCTTGCCCGCATGTTCGTCCCCGTATAACCAATGGGTTACGCGACCAACGGCGGGGAGTACGGGGTCCTTCCCACCGGCCGGTTTTTCAGTCGAGACCTCTAAATGTTTCTTAGAAGCACGGTGATGCTGTACGGAAGTAGTTTCGCTGGAGAACTCCAGCATGACCTCTACTCTGATCATCTCCCTATTGGGTTGTTTGTGGCTGCATACTATAAGATTTCGTGAAATTATGGTGGAATAATGTTCCATCCTTGGGAGGAGTAAGGAATGAGGCATCTCTGGGATTTCATGGCCTATTAGACTCGAAATTTCCTCCCTGTTTCAGTGTAAGGGGTTGAAATAGTGTTTGACATATGGTAGGACAACTTTGTTTAATCAAAAATTGGAACTGCGTCCATAAGTTTGTGTGATTTTCACACCATTTGTGCTCATTTTTTGATGCTCTGCAGATTTGTTTACTTTTGATTATTTTCGAATACGCAAAATATCGGTGCGTCATTTTTTATATAATAAGTACATAGTGTGTAATGCTAAGCGTCATAGACCGTTATTTCGATCATGAGCATAACAACATATTGCATGAAGGTTTGGTTATCTTGATCCAATAAGAATAGAACTGAAGAGGGAAATAATAGTTTGCACGTTTTTTGTATTTTGGACTCAAGTGTTTGGTAACCCCAATGTGCTGTTTGCTGGACAGTTGTACTACTAATGGGATCAAGCAAGTAAAACTCTCAGAATTTCAATTGCTTACAGGCTAAAGAAAGTTTTTTTTTTTTTTTTTTTTTTTTTTTTTTTTTTATCTTTCTACTGAATTTTGGATGATATGTGCTTCAGTTCGTTGGCTGTGCAATATTGCTAAAAAGGCTTGGATATGTAATAAGACAAAGTTGTAGATATTGGTATTTATTTGTATTAATTTCTGCAGGCTGCTCCACTTATAGCAGGACTTGCAGTTGCAGCGACTGCTCTTGCTGGTAGATATGGCATCCAAGCTTGGCAAGCTTATAAGGCAAGGCCTATTGTTCCAAGGATGCGCAAATTCTATGAAGGTGGTTTTCAACCTACGATGAACCGAAGGGAAGCTGCATTAATCCTTGGTGTCAGGTATACATAATATATGTGCCATAGTCGATCATTGTTTATGTCTCTGTTTACATAAAACTTCCATAATTGATATCTTGCCTATGAATACTCAATTATACAGTTTCTTTTGAATTATGTTAAGCTGGCTGCAGCTAATTGTTTGGGGTTTACAACTAGCAAGTGATGTGTATAAGGAAAATAAACACAAGGATCTTTCCTGGAACCTGTCTGGCATCTTGCTATCTGCTATCTCTGACTTGTTGCCCAAATCATGGGTAAAATGCACGTAATAGGTCATTTGACATAAGTACTTCAGTGTAAGTTGACAGCATATATTATAAATGTGTGAACCACAGTACACGGAATCTTTAGCTGCAAGTTACCATTGCACACATAAAAAATATGTTTCAGTTGTTTTGGTGTGCTTCAACAATTTCCAACTAGACAGCTTACAAAAATGGCAAAGGGAATTTCACTCCTATATAACAGGGCTTTATTAAAACAAATGCAACAGCTATCATTTGAAGGCTATGAATTGAGATGCTAGATTCAGCCACTTAGATTATGTAATGGAGTAGAGGGCTTGATCAGCCACTGCAGCATTAACTCCCTCTGTTTCAAATTATAAGGCGTTTTGGCTTTTCTAGATACATTGCTTTAACTATGTATCAAGCCAAAACGTCTTATAATTTGGAATGTAGGGAGTGCTGTATAATGAGAGGAGCAGGAGTAAAGTGACGGAACAAACTTGCAGAGTGAGACAGGATAGGTAGCACCTCAGTGGTATGTGGATGAGAATATATCTAAGGTTAAGGTCTTTCTCTTAACTCTTAATCTAATGCCATATGCGGATAAAACAATGCCCCCACATTTTAGAGACCAAATCACATAAATCTTATGACCCCACGGGTACACTGGGATGGAATATATGTAACACCCCTATATCACCTCAGCTGCCACCCGTAATCCCATAGTCACATTTTAGAGATCAAATAGATCCAAGATTGGACATTCGTGTTGTACCAGGTAATTGTCTGAGTATCAAACAGTAGACCCGCTCCTCTTTTCCCCTTGTTTATCACATTTTACTATTTTAGAGACCAGATAATACAGATCCAAGATTGGACATTCGTGTCGTACCAGGTAACTGTCTGAGTATCAAATAGTAGAACTGCCCCTCTTGTCGTCGGTTGTAACGCAAACAAGTGTGCAGTGTTGGTAATACATAGCTTTAGAGTAACTACATTGTTGTTATTCCCTAAGTTCCCATTTCTAAAATGATTAAATGTAGCTCTGAGTCAAATACTCTCCAGAAAATTCAGTCTCTCCCTGCAATATTTTTTTTGTCCATTTTTTACTTTTTCCAAAAATAAATGCTATGCCCTGCCCTTTTTTATTTTTCAAATATGTATGAAAGATTTCAGATGTTCAATCAGCTGTCCTTCGTACCAACATACTGAATTAAATCTTCAAAATTGCATCTGTCCTAGTCTGGTCAGTCACTCTTGAATTTTTAGAAGTGTCACTGCCTCGTGATTCAACAATTTTTCATGCTTAGCTTATAATTTAGTGATGTTCTCTGCCTCCATTAAGCGACCTTCTGTTTTCGTTGATGTTTCCAGGGAAACTGCCAATGCAGAGAAGGTAAAAGAGGCACACAAGAGGGTCATGGTTGCCAACCATCCAGATGCGGGTGGAAGTCATTACCTTGCTTCAAAGATTAACGAGGCGAAGGATGTGTTGTCAGGGAAAACAAAAGGAGGTGGGTCGGCCTTTTGATTGGAGAATGAAGAATGTATTCTCCACTAGAAGGAAAATTTTGTACCTCCAGATTTAGCATTGGAATATAGACAGCAATCTTGGTGTTATGAAAATTTCTGGACAAAGAATATTGGATCTTCTGTGAAGTAGTTATTCCGTGTTTAATAATGCTCTCAACTGTGCCTGCTTCTATAAAGTAACTGATGTACATGATGGAGGTTACATCGCAAGATGTTTCTTCCACAACTAAGTCTCATGTCGTGGGATCTTCATCACTCTTCATTAGATTCTGCTGCTGTTCAATCTCCTTTTCTTCTTTAGGATTCTGCTGCTGTTCAATCTTCGTATGTACATGATGGAGTAAATGTTGCATGTCCATGTGCCACAACATTACCTGGGACTCGAAGCATTCAGAGGGGACGCCCTTAAGCTTGTTTCCGTCTAGGATCACTGTTTCTCGTACTAACTGGATGAAATCCTGAAATCGCCAAAACCATCATCAGGTTGATTATTTTTGGTATATGTTGGCTTTGAGTTGCAATTGCAACCGGTGTAATCCTATTATATTGGGTTCAAATGACAAACCTGTGTTGCTCCAGCTGATGAGTTTCCCCTGATGAGTGATCCTTCTGAATTCCAAAGCAGTGAGCTCCTGAACCCAATTCCAGAGATGTTTATTATGGGATGGTCAGAGCTGGAGTTCTTGTTTGCGGTGGTATTGGTATCTGCTGCAACCATGGAGTTGGAGATTCCCTGTGTTCTATTAGTGCTTGAATTCTTTGAGTACCAGCCTGTGATTTGCGATGAGTTGCATGTTGGTCCTTCTAACGTCACCTTCTGGTCCGCTGGTGAGATAGTTGCTACTGGCCAAGCTGAAATACCTCTGGATCAAGAATTCAGACAACCAGTGTTATTTTGCTTGCTGCATTCTGAAAAAATTGTATAGCCAGTACTGCTACAAGAACTACTCCATTCTTTTCGAAAAATTTCATAAGAAACTAGCACGAATAAGGGAGGCAGGTTGCAAACGCAAAACTGCAAGAGAGGTGTGATAAGACATACCGAGTTTGCCTGAGCATTTGAAAGAAGCGGAGGTCATAGACGCCGGAAGCGCCGGCGAAATGGACGACGCCGTTCAGCCGATGGCGCTCGATGTGGCTGAGCGCCACGTTCCTCTGGTGGTCCGCCTCATCGCCGGCGTCGCCGCCGGTGAAGTTCGTGGCATCGTAGGTGAGGTGCCGGAACATGAGTCCGGTGCCACGCAGCAACTGTACCGTCCTCGCCGTCGCTTTTCTGTTCCTGGCCCCGACCACGATCCACAGCAGTGGCGGCACCACGTGCCGCAGCGTGTGCGCGAGCCTCGCCACCGACGCGTCCTGCGCCATGCCGTCGTCGGGCTTCGTGACGGTGACGATCAGGAGGAGGCCGAGGTCGGGGGCCGCAGGCGGCGGCGCGGCCACAGCTCGGTGAGCGTCGCCGAACGGGCCGAGAAACGGGGAACGGATGCTGGCGGCCAGCGGCGCGAGTGCAACGAGAGCGCCAACTGCGAAGCAGAGCAGGAAGTGCACGCTGGCGTTGATCCCTGGATGCGCCCTCTTCTTGGACCTCCCTGCTGGCTCCATCACCAGCAGCTAGCAAGCTAGTTTGTCCACAGAGATGGTGCAGGAGGAACAGAAGGTCGAAGCAAGGAGGAACAGAAGGTCGAAGCAGGAATTCGGATTAAATTTGTCTGAGTGGAGATGAAATGCTTGTGGTTTTATATATGAGTTTTTTGTCCGGTGGACACCACTAAAACGTGGTTTTGTGCCAAGCACACTCAATTTGTCGTTTTAGGCTCTTGGACACCGCAAAAGGCATCGATTTGTCTAGAGTTTTTTTCGTCTCTACGACACCACGAAAGCGAGATTTTGTGCCAAACACACTAAGTTGTTTATTTTAGGCTGCTGGACACCGTAAATATAAGGCTTTTGTACGCTACACATTACCACGGTTAAAAAATGCTTTTCTGATCTGGGTACGTACGTAGTGCCACATGAAAGACCAAAATAACCTCACTTATAATGGAGATAGATTCTGGGTGCTAGCCCCATCCCAAAAACATTTCACATGTTGGGTACAACATCAAATGATAGTATTTATGCACAGCATCAAATAGACAATATAAAACAAAGTTTAATTAAACCGGCATAGCTTAACAAATGCATGGCCTCACAAATTAGAGCACAACTTAATAACTTGTCACAAACTAAAGTCTTCTCTATGTGAGCAGCATCTCACAGAGGTGCAAAAAACCTTAACATGTCCCAAATTTACATCAATTTGGCATGTCAAAATGCTTCTTCCAGTTTTCTTGTACACGCATACACAAATATCAGATCTGCATGAGATGGTCTAGTGCCATTATACCATGCACCTCGGCTTCCTCTATTGCAAGTTTCCTAGCATGGCTGCAAAAAATGGCATGGATTAGGAAAAATATTAGTTTGAATCTCATCAAGTTTGGTTGAATCTCATCAAGTTAAATGAAAAAAATACTTACTGCTTAGTCAGTGCTCCAGGATTACAGTTAATCTCATCAAGATTCCTAGCTCGGCTATGAAAGATGGCAATAAGTAAGGAGAATTTTATTTTCAATTTCATCAACTTTGGTTGCTGATATTAGTTAAATAAAAAATAATTACCTCCTAGTCAGTGCGCCAGGACTATAGTTAAGGTCAAATGGGCTTGATGGTCCCTGCAGCAGCCTAAGTGGTGTACTGGGGCTAGCTGTTGCTGCTACTTCTATGATGACTTCCCTCCTAGTCCTCTTTCCCTTAGGTGTACTTGTATTGGTGGGTACCTCCTCTGTTATGACTTTCTTCTGCTTCTTGGCTCTCTTTCTCTTAGGTTTTGGTGGTGCTGGTGGTGGAGCATCTGAGTCGTACACAGTCTCATTGCAAGTTTTTTGAGTGTGCCCAAATTGACCACATCTCTTGCATTTCTTCCTATTCTTGTTGCCTCCTTCCTCGGCTCCTTTCACTCTCTTTGTCCTTGGTCTACCTGCTGCCCTCTTGAGTATTGGAGGCCATAGCTTGAATCCTATGTTCACTTGAGGCCATAATGTCTTGTCTGGTATAGGTTCAATCCAACCTTCATATGCAGCTTTGAACCTAAATATAGAGTAACAATTGTCAACATAATCCTCCAACTCTAGACCCCTGTAAGAGCATATCAAATTGATTGCATGGGTGCATGGTAGTCCAGTGATTTGACATTTATTGCAAGTACATGTTCTTTTTTCTAGGTTCACAGCATGTCTCTAAAGAGTCAAGTCCTTGTAAACACCACTTATCTCTGCTGTGTGTCCGACACCTTTGTGGATTGAATACCCAACCAATCCTCTACTTTTCGCATTGAGGTCCTTCACAATGTGTGGAAGCACTTTACTGTTGAGCTTCATGGCAAGTCTTCTCCTTTGAAATAACTTATCCATGATTTTTTTTGTCTAATTCTATCCATTAGATCTATCACAGGAAGCAACTTCTCATGTTTAATCCAATTGTTGAAGACTTCATCAATGTTATTGGTCACATAATCACACTTGCTGGCTGTAGAGAAGTAACATCTTGCCCACAAATGCTTGTGATTATCCTCGATCCACTTCAATGCTTTTGGCGATGATTTCTTCATGATATTGTAGTGTATGTCAAACAAATCTTTCCTGTAGACTCTTGCTGCTGGTCACAGATTCTTCTCGAAGACTTTACCATGAAATCTCTTTTTGAAGTTTTTGTACAAATGTCTCATGCATTCCCTGTGCTCTACTGCATTGGTGAAGACATTGGTCACCGCTATGTCAATGCCTTTCCCAGCATTAGTTGCGATAACAAGTCCAGGTGGGGATCCAACTGCCATTGCTAGGTTGCCCATGAACCGTCCCTAATTTTCCTTGGTCTCTGATCCAAATACTCCATATGCCACAGGGAACATCCAGTTATGTCCATCAATACCTATGGCAGAAGCTAGTTGCCCCTTCCACCTTCCAGTAAGAGCCGTGGAGTCAATGCCTAGGTATGGACTGCATCCATTTTTGAATCCGTCTATACATGGCTTCAAAGCAACAAACATCTTGCTAAATCTGATCTTGGACCCAACCTTTTCATAATCTACCTTAACTATACTTCCAAGAGACTTCCTTTCTATCTCTTCCTTGAATGCAAAAGGGTGTTCAAAACTATCCTCCCACTTGCCCAAAATCTCATCAATAGCTAGCTCCTTGCCATTGTAGACGATCCAATATGATAATTAGATCAAGTACTTCTCTTCTAGCTTCTTCTTTAAAGCAGCAGGGCCAATTGTTGGGTCTTCCATGAGCCATTGAACTACCTTGTCCCTAACCCAAAATTGGTCAGCCATACAATTGCTCTCCAGTTTGCTTGTACTTTTACAGCAGTGCTTGTTAGGTATCTTCTTAATCTAAAAAAAAAAACAATGACATAATTTAAAGGAGTTGGCTATAAATTAAGAAACAGAAAATTAAGGAACAAAATTAAGGAACAAAAAAAGAGGGATCACCTACGATTAATGTACAGAACAGTATAAACACTTCTCCAACAAGAGCAAAGTTGGCATACGAGGCAGGGGTAAACTGTGGCAGTTTCCAAGCAAAACTAACAAGCTATAGAATGCCTGATGGATCATGCATGTCTTCAGTTCAGGCACTCTGTTGTTACTTTTATCATTGCTAGGAGACTAGAACAACTAAGGTGATGTAGCGAATGAAATTGTGGCAGTTTCCTTTGCAGGTTGTGGCAGTTTCCACACGGACCATTACAAATCTTATCGACATAGGCAGATCTGGCCATTTTCATTTGTTCCAGCAATGAACCACATATTCATATATACACACACAAAAATCGAATGAAATTGGAGCAAAGTATTGGAGTAATAAGAAGGAAAAGGAGGCAGGGGCGACGCCATTAGCAATCCATGCGCCTTCAGTTTAAGCGCGTGTCAGAATCATCCAGGTGACGAAGAACTCGCAGAGCACGGCGTCGCGCATCAGCCTTGCCGCGTCCTTGGCGTCGCCGAGGCTGCGCCTGGCGTCTTTCACGAGCTGCCGCGCCGCCGACCGCCACCCTTCCCGGCGCGGGGACTCGGCGGACCGCCACCGGAGGAAGTCCTCGGCCGCCGTGGCTGCCGCCGCGGCGGAGCTCAGCGCCAGAAGCGCGTCGTGGGCGTGGCAGACGGCCGCCTCCCGGAGGTCCATCCACCGCTTCCACGGCGCGGCGCGGTGGGGCTGGAGGCCGGTGCGCGCGGCGCAGTTGACGAAGACGTGGCCGGCCTCGGCGTGGAGCGAGACGAGGCGCGTGATCTCACGGTAGGCGACGGGGAGGTGGCCCTCTCCGTGGGCCAGCGCGCTGGCGAGGACGTCGGCCCAGTAGCCGCCGATGTCCACGGAGACCCCACATGGGAGGCTCGCCTGGGCCTGGCTGCCGCAGGTGGTCTTCGAGGGTACGCCGCTGCCGCCGTGATCGCCGCCTCCGGTGGTCGTCTCCACGGGTTCGCCGCCGCCGCTGCCGTTCCCGCCTCGGTTGGCGTTCGGGGGCGGAGACTCGGGGTCGTCGGAGTCATCGAACTCCCACTTCTTCCCGGCGAACAGCTCGCGGGCGCACTTGATGCTCGCGACGGCCTTTCCCGAGGTGCCGACGAGCAGGAGGATCGCCGGCACCGTCCGTGCCAGATCCATCAACCGCCGCTCCTCCGTTGCCATTGAGCGCGTGCGTGTGCAATGGACAGACAAGAGAATGCGGCGGCGGCGGCGGCCTATATAACTGCTCCTTGGTCCTTGCGTCGGAATGCGGGACCCACGGTTTGGACCGCCTTCCCATGGGAATGAGGGACCGACGGTTTTGGTCCCACTTGTCATTGAGGGCCATAGAGATCTCAGGTGTGGAACCCAACAAGGCGGTGGGCTCGCCATTACCGGCGTGAAGCGGTGCGTGTTGCGGCTATTTAAACCGCTCCCGGGAGGCCGGGACCTTCCAGAAACGAGCACCGACCACCGAGAGCAAGAGATAGGAGATGGAAATGGAAGAAGTGGAGTCCACTTGGAAGGCCCTGTTCCAGCGGCGGGTGGTGATGGCGGCCAAGCACTGCCACAGCATCCACGAGCAGCTCCTCGGGGTGCTCGAGGCCGTGGACGCCGACGTGCAAAACAGGCGCCGCCACCAGGGGCCCCGCGCGGAGGCGGCGCAGCGCGCGCTCGAGGGCGCCTCGATGGATCTCGGCCTCGCCTTCGCCAGCAGTGGCGGACCCAGGATTTGAGATCAGGGCCTACTAAAAAAATTTCATGTGTGATATTATAAAATCCAAATAAAAAGTTCGACAAACATAACTATAAATTAATCAAATTACGATAATACATTTAAGAGATTCGAAACTTACATAAATACTCCCTCCATACTGGTAAAGAAAGTCGTTTAGAATATGATTTAGCATACCAAAGAGTGATTAATTAAGATGTATTTTCCCTGTTTTCCCTTATTAAATAGGGTTGCGGGTATCACCTATCCAACAAACTTTTATAACTGAATTGGTAAGCGCACTGCAGCCCGAGATAGGAGGTCCCTGGTTTATCCCTCTCGGACGCGTTATTTTTTTAAGAGCTTATGGATTTGCGGTGTCTTTGGTCTGGGCTGAGACGAGAGTGACCGTAGGCCGGTTTTTGAAGGGTAGTAATAGAATTTTGGGCCAAATTTGTGGGTAGTCCTATGACTGCCTGGAATACCCGCTGGGTCCGCCACTGGTCGCCAGCATGGGCGCGGCCAGCCACCTGGCGCTCCGCGGCGGCGCGCCGTGCCCGAGCGCTCCGCGGCGGCGCGCCGTGCCCGAGCGCGCCACTCGACTCCATTGATGACCTCGCGGGGGCCGGGGGTCGACCCCGGCGTGTGGTGCGCGCTGGAGAAGCTCAGGAACGCCGCCGCGCTCGCCACCCACGTGCACGACGGCGTGGAGCGCGCCCGCGGCCACCTGTGCGCTACCGAGCTCCTGGGGTTCCTGGACGAGGCCAGCGACGGTGGCGGCGACAGCAACACCGCGCTGTGGGAGCAGAGCCCGTGCTTCTGCGAGCAGTTCAGCGGTGCCATGGCGCTCGCCGAAGCGCTGCCGAAGGCGATGGACCTCGCCACGGAGACCGACGACGTCAAGTGAGGTCTCCGGTCTCCCGAATTCGCAGGGCTCGGTTGTTCGATTCGTCACCCGATCGGCTGCTTGAGTTTAGTAATTCTTGGGATTCTTGGAATGATGAAACGAACGTGCCTGTTTTGTTGCGATTTGGTAATTCTTGAATGATGAATGAATGGTCCATCATGTCCATTGCGTGTTCCGTTGATCTGATTTGAGTTTAGTTCTACTTCTACTGTTGCGATGCACAATGGCATGTAATTTTCAGGTGATCTAGGGTGAATGTTATTTGCCAGTTGCCAGGGCTGCTGTGTATGAAGAATTGCAGGAACGGGAGGCTATTTAGTTGCCAGCTATGTCGTGTGTGCACAGCATAGCAACAATTGAATCCTTGTTAAGTTGTTCACTAACCAGTAACCAATGGACAGTTAAATGGAACTTGTCGATGATGCTTACTTCAACGATAATGCTTGGCCACGGGTGTCCGCCCCATCCGGACGCCGCACGCCTCACTCTGCCTCGCCACTTCCGCCCCCGCTGCTGCTCACTCCCGCCTGCGACGCGCGCCTCGCCCAAGACACTTGCTCCTCCCGTCGCGCACCCGGCCCATGCGGATTCGACCCACACATCGTGCCGCGCCTGTGGCAGAACCGTAAAAAATAACACGTTTTTAGATGCGCTCGTCTTCCACTAGACACTAAGCACCTCGAAAGTGAGTTACATCGGTCAGTCCCGTTGAGCACATTCTAAGGGAGAATTCAAAACAATCTACGTTTTACATCCAAAATCCAATAATGAGTACGAGCTTACAATACTTAGTCCATTTCATACAACAAGAATTCTTGAAAATTATTTATTACAATACTAGAGTTCAGAGTGCGATAATTAAACAGCGAAATAAAAATAAACATCTAGCGGAATCGATACAAGGATCTGTCTGTGCCCACCAGAAAAATCCTCCACATAAGAGCTACTCCTCAAGCTGCACCTGTAACAGGGGTAAAATAAACTCTGAGTACATAATATACTCGTAAGACTTACCCGACTAGTGAGAATAATTTTCCGACTCCAAGAGTATGATAGGCAATATGGATTTGCTGTTTTCTTTTTGTCTGCGAAAATCATTACAAATAGTTCATCCTTACAGTCAAATTTTATTAGCAGTCATGATTACTTCATTAACTAACCATTCTAGGTAAGCACATGTTCTACTTTCAAGCAAGGGTTAAGCTATTAGAACCATTTTATCATCTTTCATCTTTCAGTTCTTACTACGGTGCTAGACCATAGCCAAGTTATACTGTCTCACGAAAACGACGATTTGTGAACCAATGTATCCCAACTGGGTACCCCAAAACACACGCCCCATTTGTACCCCAGGCACAAACAAAACCAACCCATTCCACTCCTGTCATGGGGTCCAGGTTCCCGTCCAAACTTGGACTCCAAGCCCCCACACTTGAGACCCAGTCTCAGTATGGTGCTTAGATCTTCACCTTTCCCCGTCTCTAATCAGTCGGTCCAGAAAGAGCCAGAACATACGACAAGAGCGTAACGAGCCTTCCCGCTCTCATAAGCAAGTATGTGCTCAGGATAATAAGTCTGTGACCTGACTGCCATCCACAGCAACGGACGGTCCTTAATCGACACGAACAGGAAAAACAGTGTAACCAAGCTAAGCCCCATTGGCCGCGGGACACAACCGTTACACCCACCAATATCCATATCATATCCCTGCCCTGTCTCTATTTTTTCTTTCATCATTTTATCATGAGAGTAATTATAATAATCATCTATTATGAGTAACGACAGGTTACTCACGCTACCGAAAATCTAAGCATAGTAGTTACTCGAACCTGTACTAGTAGGACTCATAGGACAACTATATCTATGCATGTGGTTTTCATAAAATCCTATAACGTAAATGCACATCACACACACACATATATGTGTATATATATATTCAGGGTGACACGACTGGCTGGGAAAGGCTGCAGCGGAGCGCGGCCATCCGCGACGGCGGCGCCACTGTTCCGATGAGCTAGGGCAGCTACAGACCTAATCGGTTAGCGTGTGAGCATCAGGAGACTACCATGGACCAGGCCGAGGTGACAATTGGGGTGGAAGATGACAGAGGAAGGCTGTCCACGTGCGACCGAGCCGTGCGGCAGCGTACCGCGGTGGCACAGTTGCGTCAGCGACGAAGGGGATGCGATAGCTGTTCGACTAAGGCGCGCAAGGTGGAGGGGGAGTCAAGGCGATGCTAGTGGTGTAGGTGAATTGGATTGGGAGGGACAATGGGAGAGCTGACCACACCCATGGTCGGACGCGGCCTTATCGGCACGGCGGCAGAAGAAACTCCAAATTGGAGCTTGGCCGTGCTCGCTTCAAAGCTGGGTGCGGTCTGGTAGTGAGAGGATGTAATGGTGAAGCCGTGGATGCGACGAATTGAATGGAGGTGATCGTTCGCTGGGCAATTGATGGCGCGGCTCGACGATGGCAGCGGAGGAAGAAATAGAGAAAGAGAGAGATGGGGCATGACAGGTGGGCTCGGCTTGTCCTCGCCTTGGCGGGACGCGATCGGCGAGATCATTAAGACCCACGCGCAGGCGCTAGCAGACAGGCACGCACGTTTCTGACCAGCGTGGCCCGTGTAGCCATAGTGTCTTAAATGACAAGGCGATGGCGAGCTCAGCCACGTGCGTGCGGTAGTGGTGGCCTTGAACTGGGCTGGCAGGGCGCAGAAAGTACAGCGGACAGGCATGGATGCGACGACGATGCGACGGTAGCGGCAGCGTCGCGGCGTGAGGTCGGTCGGCAGTGCGGCGAGGCAGTAGTGGGCGGACACGACGGTAGTGCAGCGCGGCCGTGGTGGCACCAATGGCGGCAGCACGAGGCTGGGCAATAGGGCGTGGGGCCAACGGCTAGCTGCGGCCGACCTCGACCAAACCCAGGTGCCCCGACCGACCCAGCGTGGGGGCACAGGGTGACCGCGCTGGATGCGGCCATGTGCGTGGCGCGGGGTGGCCACGCGGTGACCGCGCGCACGGCGCCAACCATCCCGAGATTGCGACGCGCATGAATTTTAAAGCGCACAAAATGACTAAACAGTTGCCCCTTGAGGCAAACCATCTCCACCATGCTCAAGATGGCATATGAGACTGCCGAATCGAGCTATAACACTACACCACCCCTTTAACCCAATCTCTCAAAAGAATTTGTTAAATATAGCAATGTCTAGCTGTTGACAAACTTGGAAATTTTCTAAGTTTTGAGCTGAATTTGATTTCAATTTGCGATTTCTAAGCTAGTGGAAATATGAGCTAGTAATATCATTTTTCGACAGCAAGTATTTCACTGTCATCTATAAAATTTGTACTTCAAACTTTATTTAAGTATCACACACATGTTCTATAGTATTTTTGCTCAATAAAAATTAGTTTTAAACCCTACTTGATGTAACTGAACTATTAAATCAACTTTCGTTTAACATTTTTATTGATCATTTTTAGTTACAAGAAATTTATCTACATATTCTATCACATGCATTAACACATAAACATGATGCTCATGACATGTTTTAGTAAATGATTTAGGGGGTAACATCGAGGGTGTTACAACTCCCCCATCCTGCGCGCGCTGCCTCTGCTTTCCCCATCTCTCGCTCTCTATCTCGCGTCTACTAACAGCATGGTGTCTCCTCGGCCTCTTCCTGAACCCCCAACACCACCGGGATGCCTCGCCGCAGCTGCCCTGCCGATGGCCGCTGGACGCACGTGCTGGGGCGCCTCAGGTCATCCCCGGCCAAGTGAAGGGCACTCACGAGCGTTGTCGCTCGCTGCCGGCTCCCATCCCGACAACCGAAATCGACTGCCCAGGTCTCCCCTCCCATATGTTACAAATGTATATTTTAAGTGTTTCAGACGTTTCAGAGGTACGTTGCAATTGTTTTGTATGGGTGTTGCAAAAGTAGATCAGGGATGTTGCACATGTTGCATATGTTGCAAGTGTTTTAGAGGCATGTTGCAAGCGTTTGTTCAAAATGTTTCGTCTGTTCCTGACATATGTTGCAACCATTTTGATCTGGATGTTGCATATGTTTCACACATATGTTCCAAATATTTCATCTGTTTCAGTCTTATGTTGCAACAAGTGTTTTTATGCTGCAAGTGTTTATCTGAGTGTTGCATATGTTTCCCACATATGTTGCAAGTGTATGTTCAAGATGTTTCATCTGTTTTCAGACATATGTCGCACTCAAGTGTTTCATGTTGCACGTGTTTCATATTGTTTGAAGAGTCAGGGGGCGTAGGGAGTGATGGTGGCACGGTACGGGCACCAAGGAATGGGCGGCGTGGCGAGGGGGGGAGCGACGGACGTGGTACTGTGGCGTCATTGGGGCTTGCGGTTGGGGCGAATGGCCAACAAACGAATAGGGGCGGGTCGAATTGAGGCAAACTACACGTGCGAGGCCAGTCATTTGGACACGCGGGCGCAACGGCGGGGGCAAGGGTGCACGTGCAGGTTGAGATGAATTAGCAAATAGGGGCAGATTGCACGGGGCATCAAGATGCGCGTGTCCATCTGGACCTCTGGGCGATAGCCATGCAGTTAGTTTAGAGATGCTTACGGCGGACAGACTGGCGTGTGGTGCTGACAGATATTTACTTTTTCCAACTTACCTCGTCTCGGCACAGGTGAAATTGTAAAACGACCTACCGGCCGTGGCTGAAACAGGGGAGCGAGACGAACGAAACGGACGGTGAATTCCTTCCGGAGGCTTCCCGTGCAAGGAACCCGGCTACTATACTACTACTAGTACTCCCGCCGTCGTCCGACTTCCACACCCCTGTTCCATGCCACCACAAGCTTACTGCACGAGAGGGAGGGAGAGCTCGGAGCTGTGGGCGTAGCTGGCGTGGACGGCGCTTGGCACCGTCCTGCAGTCCTGCGTGTGGCCACCTCGGACTCGGAGTGAGGACTGGAAGGAGTCCGCAAATGCCTGAGATCCACTCACGGCGGGCGCG